TCTCTCTCTCCCTCTCTCTCTCTCTCTCTCTCTCTCGCTCTCGCTCAACCTGCAGAGGATGCAATGGCACGAGTAGGAGGTGCAAGCAGGCGAAGTTAGCCAGTGAGATCATCTTCTCCTGTCGTCAAATGTGCTTGTTTGCTTCACTCTGCTCCTCCTTGTCCCCCTCCCATCCAGTTCCTGTGACAAAGAAAACATGACACACGCTCACGCTGTCTCAGACGCCACCTCCCATCTCATGTTTGTATTGGGAGAAAAGATCAGTTTCATGCCCCAGTTAAGGCCAGGACTGGATTGTGGAGCTTACCAAACCCAGTTTGAGGTGTGCTTTGCAGTTAGAGCACATGAGAGCAATTTTTCGCACAATTTGTTAGCTCCTTGTGCAATCATTCTCGAGTTTGCACATCTTGGCCCAGGTCAAGTCGACAGACTTTGGACATCATGGCTGATGTTCCTACTCCGAGAGGAAAACCTGACTGGTTTCCCTTGAGATGAGATCAATCGCAAAGAGAAAAAGACAATTGCACACTCAACTAAAAAGCCCGCCAGCCCGAGTCTGAAGCTGCTTTAATTTATCGCCTTGTCATCACGAGACACAAACCAGACCAAATGTAGCTCGTGCCAAGTGCTTTGCACGTGAGGTTTCTTTTCAAAACATTAAGTACAAGAAGTAATGAAGGCTTTGTTGACAGGGAATCACACCTTTGCTCACAAGACTGAAGTGTGCGTAGCATTTAGCATTTTTGGCTCCAGTTTGGTCCGATTAGTGGGTGGCTTACAATACCTGCTGCTGGCACACTGTGTGCGGAGGAACTCATTAGACCAAAGGGGGGATGCCCGGCCATTTCCCTTCTGCTGCTGCAAGGCCTCAGCATGCCAGAAATGTTAAAGCAAGAGACATAAACAGATGGTGGAGAAAAAAAAAAAGACGATGCATGTGGAGAGAGAAAGAGGAAATTAATGTTGAACTTGCGATTAGGATTTTGAAAGCATGAGGGTGAATGGAGGAATGTGGAGGAAGAAAAGAAAACAAGCATGCAAGGACTAAAGGACAAAAAGCCGTCATCCCGTTAAGCCAACATAAAAGGCAACAGAGAATAGGCTGGTATAGAACACGATGACGTTTGCAACTTTTTAAAAAATCCATACGATAACTCAAATGGCACTCAGTAGAGCAGGGATAACCAACCTTTTTGGGTACGGATAATTTGATACACACTTCTGAAATAAGACGTTTGCGCAAATTATTTGGGAGGAATAAAAAGAAAATTAACTCTAATTGCATTTTACGTTTAAAAAACTAACTATACTAATGAC